GTGCAAGGGGCGGCACGTGGAGAACGCGAGTGACTGCTGGGAGGGGGGCGGTGTGCAAGCGAGCGTGCAAGGGGAGCAGGCGGCGAGGACCCCAGCGTGCTGGGCCGGGGGGGGGCACACGGAGAATGTGAGTCACTTGGGAGAGGGGCGGCGTGCGGGTGAGTGTGCAAGGGGTGGTACGTACACGTACGAGCGTGCAAGGCGAGGAGGGTGGGTTTCCCCGGAGGCGGGCGCCCGGCTGGGGCGCAGCACGGCGTCTCCCTCTTCCCCGCCGCAGCCGCGCAATGGACGTCAGCCACTCCGTCAAGGAGCGCACCATCGCCGAGAACAGCCTGGTCATCCTGCTGCAGGGCCTGCACGGCCGCGTCACCACCGTGGACCTCCGCGACGAGAGCACGGCCACGGGGCGCGTCACCAACGTGGACGCCTTCATGAACGTGCGGCTGGCCGAGGTGACCTTCACGGACAGGCAGGGCACGGTGTCCCACCTGGACGAGCTCTTTGTGACCGGCAGGAACGTCCGCTACGTCCACATCCCCGACGAGGTGGACATCAGGGCCACCATCGAGCGGCAGCTGCAGGCCATCCACAGGGTCCGCTACTTCGGGGGCCGCGACAAGGGCAGGAAGGAGTTCCCTCGTGCCAAGCACAAGTGAGGCCCCGGCGCTGCCCGCAGCCCTGCCCGCGGCAGGGCCGGGATGGAGCTGCCCCTTTGACCGGACTGCCAGCCGCCTCCGCATCTCACCCCGGACTTCTCGCCCAGGGACTCGCAGCTCTGCTGCTCCCCTGGCCGGTGCCGGTGGGGTAGCAGAGTTAATTTTTTTTTTGTAATGAATAACCCTGCTTAAAAGGGTCTGTGATCTCTCAGCTCGTTTCTTGTTCTGTTGGTGGCTACTCATGTCCCTCCTCCAATGGCCAGACAAAGCCCTTTTGGCCAAAGCCACAGCCTGGGGTTGTTGCTTGGCCACAGCCTCCCGCAGCCCTCCTGCTGCCCACGGCTTTGCCTTCCTCTGCCAGCATCGCTGCCCGCAGGAGCTGGAGACACTGGTCCCGAGCTGGGGAGGGGGTTGGTCGTGGTCTGTCCTCTTGGCTTCCTGCTAGACAGCCGCCGTTCTGAAAGTGTTCTAACGGGAAGAGGGTGAGACGAACGTCTGTCTGGAGCGGAGCGGGGCTGAGCTCGCAGGCGAAGGGGCAGCACTGCCTGCCTGGAAAAGCACGAAGGTGCTTTGCCCAGGACACAGGGAATGCTGCTGCTGCTGCCGGCTCCTCTGTCACCCTTCGCCCAAAGCTCTGCGGCTCCTTCCTCAGCCCACTGCGCAGTCAACAGATGACTTCACCCTGTTTCCACAGGGATCCCTTTGTTACCCAGCGCCATCCAGGCTCCTCTGAGACGGATCTCGGTGGCTCTCCCCCCCGGCGCATGCCGTGGGCAGAGCTCTGGGCCTGGGCGCCTCACTGGAGCGGTCAGCGGCTTTGGGGCAGACCCCGAGGACCGAAGACCCGCTCGGGGATTTTTAAGAGCTCGCCCGCAAGAAACTGCACGCGAATGGGGACCGTGTGTCCCTGCCACAGCCGGGGGCGGGCTGGGGATGACTCCAGTGGCAGGAGCAGCTCCTGGTGTGGTTTGTGTGGGCGTCCGGGGGGCCGCTTGGGCGGGAGGGTTTGGCGGAGGTGCCGTGGGCTTGCTTCCCGCTGGGGAGAGGAGTCGGGGGGGCTGGAGTCTGCGGCACGGCTGCCCGGTGCCCCCGGCCAGGGCCTGACTGCTAGGAGCGGGGCCGGGTGTCGCGGGTGGCTCAGGGGCACGGCGGCCTGTGATGGCGGCGCTCTGCTGGCGGCCTTCGCCCGCGAAAGCACCCGCCTCTCCACCAATCACGGAGCGTTCGAATCTCCCGCGTGCCCACCAACCCCTTTGGCGTCCAGCGGCGGCCGGAGCGGGAGCCAATCGGCGGAGGGAGTCATCCCTCCCCAGCCAATCAGCCTTCGCTTCTTGCCTCCCTCTCGTCCGCGCCTCAACCCGTCAAAGTCTTCCCCTCCAGGCCCCCGGGCTCTCCCCCAATCGCAGCCGGCTCTGGCTCAGCCGGCCAATCAGCGCCGCCCCCTTCCCCGCGGCCCCGCCGCCATCTCTGCGGCGGCCGCCAGGAGGCGGGATGGCTGTGGGACGGAGGGGGGGGCGGTGGCCTGTGCGTCACTTCCGTTGTCAGGTGGCCGTCCGCCGCGGAGCGGAGCGGAGGCCGCGGCCGGGCGTGGGGCTGCGGGAGGCGCCGGCGGCCGCGCCGGCCCCGGGGCCATGGGTGAGCGGGGAACGGGCGAGGGGAGGGTGAGCCGGGTCACGGGGTCGGTCCCGGTCCGGCTGTGTGACGGGGTGGGTGGGGAGGCGCCGCC